TACAGCACAAGCCTATGCTATCAACCCAGACCTGCCCCAGAGTGAAAGCAGCCAGATCAGGCTGACTTACACCTATACGTGTATGTGCACAGGCTGCCATCACGTCTGGCAGGTGGTGCTCCTCTGGGCTCCTGGCTCTGGTACCATTTCTAGTTAACAGTGTTGTATTTGACCGGAGCATAGAAAGTTATCACAAGACAAAAGTATGCCAGATTGCAGGGTCATTTATTATGCCGGCGACCACAGAGGACTCACGTCTCTCCAACCTGTGGTGGCAACAGGAGGGTGCCATGATTTTTTATACCCGAAAAACCACCTTGGGCGTGGGGGTGAGGGGCGGGGATGGGGATGAAAAGGCTTCAGACATTCCGAGGGCTAGTGGATTCTGTAAATTACCTCCTGGGCAGAGATGAGGGTGGGGGTCTCCGGACATTCCAAGGGCCAGGGGACTTTTGTCATTCCGTTTGTTACTTAAGTGGTTTACAGAAGTCAAGATAAACATTTGTTTACACATTATCTGGCTAAGGTGGAAATCACAGACCTTAGTTACTTATTACAAGCCACAGGAGCCAGGATGGAACTAGCTTGGGCTGCTTAGTCTGGCAATTGCCGGTAAGCAAAGGCTAGCAATTCTGGCAGTTACTGATAAGAAAAGGTAAGCAGCTTTACATAGTGGCTAGTTTGCAAAGCAAACTAGCAGTTTTATTTACAGTAGCCAAGGCTAGCAGTTATTGTGAGGAGAATGGGGCAGCCATTTCAATTTATCTAAAAAGAGTTTTGCATTTTATAAAATAGTTTTGCTCTGGTTCTGGCTCTAGGCCAGCACAATATCACAACAGGCAGGGCATGTCTGCCTCAACACTCTGTGGATGAGGGGCCTTCTGCTTCCCCAGACACTTTCCTGTCCACGTTGCCTTTCAAGTTAGTCCACAAATTGCTTTGGACAATTGTGCTCGGATCCTGAGGTCAGAAAGAACATTTCTTCCCCTGCAGGCTGGTTAATGACTTGGCTCTTCCCACTGGGCAAGCTTCTTCCTTTCACTGTGGAGAAAGGGGCTGAGTGATGGTCAGATGAAGGACCAAGGACTCCAGCTGAGATCAGACCTGTTGCTAAACAATCAAAGGGGGCCCCTAACCTTGGCCTTCCCTGCATACCTCTTGAAGATAGAAGCCCCTGTGTCAGCAAAAATTTTTATTCAAGTTTCAGAGACTAGATATGATGCACAGAAAGACCCTGCTTGATTTACCAAAAACGCCCAGGACAGGAGGCTGTCTCTGGCAACTTGCCGCTGCCCTGCCCCAGGGATGAGAAGGGCAGTAGTCTCCCCAAACGGTGTCCATGGGTCTGGGATCCTTCCACTTCCATTACTCTGTGATGTCTGCTGGGCAGGGTCTTCGGTGAGGTACACACTCCAGCTAGTCTAAACTGCGTGACAAGTAGGCTCTTAAACTACCTTAGTCAAGTGCTCATCAAGCCACAAGTGAACAGCTGCCTCCTGCCTTGAGCCTGATGCCTGGATTATTCATCCTTTTTGGCTTTCAGATCCTCTTTTTGGATCCAGACAGATACTGCTCCTTCCACAGCCACCTTAGTTTGTCATGTCATCCTCCCAGTCACCCCCTCCCCACACCTGGCCCCTTTCTCTTTTTGGTTGGGCGCCTCTCCCTCTTCTCCAGGCCCCTCCTTTCATCCTGGAATGAGTCTGTGGGGCATGGCTCCAGGCTTCTCTTGCTTCTAATCAATTCCTTTCCCCCTTATCCCAGCAGCCTCACATTCATTCTGTTGGCTCCTCTCCATTTTACTGAGCTTTCCTTAAAATATCTCCTTCCTTTTTATCTATCTATCTCTGTTCCATCCCCGGGGAAGTGTGGTCTTTAGTAGGCCCTTGTTTCTCATGTCTCCTGGGGCTCTCTTTTCCTTCCTCATTATGACTATCCACCTTGTCCAGGCTCCACCCTGCAGCCGCTAGAATACGTATCACTGATGGACTGTGGAATATGTGCCAGGCACTATGTCAACGCTTTGCCTGCAGTTTTTCATTTCATTCCCTCACAATAACCCCTTGACAGCAAATACGATCACCCCCTTTTAGAGTGAAGAAACTGACGGAGAACCACAGAGGTTGAGTAATTTGCCCAAAGTAAATTACAGTGTGTGGGAGGAGGAATTCCAACCCAGCTCTCTCATGCTCCCTGCTCACCCTGCCTCATACACACCTCAAGTCAGCAGATACTTATGAAAAACCTACTGCATACAAAGCACTGTGGGTAATAGTTATGCGGGAAGGAAACAAAGAGAAAGAAAACAAGATTCTCTCTATGCCCTCAAAGCGCATAGCCTAGTATAGAAGACATGCATACATATGTATAACACTGCATGGAAAACCTAAGGGTTATACATAGGCACAGTTTCTGAGCACTTAGGAGAGGGAGTGGCTTAGCATAAGAGATGGGAATCTCCCTGCAGGAGACTCTTGCTTCCTTGAATCAAAAACCTAAAGATGGAATGAGAGGACATTTCAGGAATAATGCTGCAATCACCACAGGAAAGCAGGAATTGTTGCAGAGCATCTGAGATGAGCTCTGCATCGGATTCCTGATCACCTTGACATTGGACAAGGAATCCAACATCTTGAGGCTTCAGGTTTTTAATCTGCGAATTGGAGGATGCATAGTACCTGCATCGTAGGAGTGTCGGGAGAATTAATTGAGATAGCACATTTCTAGTAAAGAATTGAGCATAGTAAGTGGTATGTTTTATGTGCTCAGTGATTATCATTCCTGCAGCCTGCCTTCTTGCCACAAAGTTTCCCACTCCTGTACAGTGAAAAACAGCATTTATTGGATATCTTCTTAGAGTGAAGTGGCTTCACATGGGTTAATCCATTCAATTCTCAGAACGAAGCTGTTAAGTTTTGTTTGGTGTAGTTGGTCGTCATCATTTTAACAAATGAGGGAGCCCAGGCCCAGAGGGCTCAGCAATTTGCTCAAGGTCATCTGGTTAAGAGAGCCTTCATCAGGACTCCAGGGGCTCTGCCTGGCTCTGCAAGGGCGTGTATTTTCCCTCTGCGTGAGTCACCAAAAAGTCCTGGAGTGGAGTGACCAAGCGGAAGTGGAGGCATCAAGATCCAGGGGGACCTCCAAGGACACCAGGCCCCAAGATGTGGGCCTGCAGAAGGAGAGAGCCTAGTGGACTACTTTAAGGCAATGCTGGGCATTCGCTCAGGGACCCTGTGAATACAGAGCTGTTTTCCTGCTCACAGTGGGGGCAGGCAACCAGAGCATGTGGTTTTCCCTGAAAATGTCTACAATTCCACCAAAATCTGCCCAATCTGCATGTGGTAAAGACAGGAGGATGTTGTCTATCCTTGCTACAAGGTAAGAGGAGGACACTGGGAGTTGGCATCTTGCTGTAATAGACACAGGATTCAAAAATAGATAGATATGGACTCAAATTTCAGCCCCAAGCCTTGGAAGCTGTGTGACCCTGCATAAAGCACTTCTGACTGGCCCTTGCTTTTCCGTCTCTAAACACAGATGATCATAATCATACCAGTCTCCACTGACCAAACAGTGGTCATTAGATCCAATGAATCAACACACGGGAGTACACTTTACAGACTCAGCTATAACCGGGCATTAGTTGTCAAATGAATGAGTCAGATATTTGGGAGAGTTCACTGCCTGAGGAAGGAAATCCAACCAATCCCCTGCCTGAGAGCCGAGAGCAGCCAGCTCCAAGACACCTCCAGGGGGAGCTCGAAGCCCTCTGGCACTGAGTTTTTCTCTTCTCCAATTCCCTAACCCAACATGTTTATAGTCCACACCACATCCAGTTCTCACGGTTCAGAAAGTCCTCCAAGCCAGGCCATTTGAATCCTTTAATGACACCCCCACGGCTGTTACCCAGCGCCACACACAGAGCAGACGCTGAATCACTGCTTATTGACTGAATCAGCAATGGGGTACCTGCTCCTGCCCCGCTTGCTTTCCTTTGCAGAGCCTCCGCCTGTCAATATATTCCCCCTCACGTGGAATCCATCCCTCACGCAGGCCTTTCAGCAGGAAACTTCCCCTGGGCCCCTGGCCAGTGTTTCCTTTCAGAGCTTCATCATTTCCAAGGTGGCTGAGGTTGTAGATTTCAAAGCAAGGCCAGAGAATGTAAGCTCCAGGCTGGTTTTCACTGCTTCTGCCAACCCTGCTGCTTACCCTCACACGTCCCTGAAAAGCTTTGGCTGGAACCAGATGCCAATAGGCGAAGGTCCCTGTTGCCTGGCCCTTCACGGCATCCAAACCAGCAAACCAGGGGCTTCCCTGGGGCCGAGTGACCTTCTCTGGGAAGTGAGCCAGAACACAGCAAAGTGCTGCCTCTTCAGCCACTGTGGCTGTGCGAGGCCTGGGCTGAATCCCAAAGAACGAGGGCCCAGCTCTACGGCAGAGAATCTCAGTAGGGGCAGGGCTATAGGGACCTCCAAAGTCAGCAAGCTCAAACTTGTCATTGTCCAGAGGAGGATACTAAGCCTCAAAGAGGCTCAGCAATGCAAATAAGGTAGCAATCTGGGAGCAGAGATGTGCTATGCCACGGCCCTTTTTCCCAGCCCTGGGCTATTTACACCACCCAACAGCTCCTAGTGCCTGGACTAGAAGATTCCAAAGTCTAGCTTCCACTTCTTTCCTTTTGAGTTGCTCTTTGGCTTTCCCAGGGAATAAGATGGCTGTTTATTTATTTATTTATTTTTATTTTTTATTTTTTTGAGACAGAGTCTCCCTCTGTCACCAGGCTGGAGTGCGGTGGCACAACCTCTGCTCACTGCAACCTCCGCCTCCCTGGTTCAAATGATTCTCCTGCCTCAGCCTCCTGAGTAGCTGGGACTACAGGCGCATGCCACTATGCCCAGCTAATTTTTGTATTTTTAGTAGAGATGGAGTTTTGCCATGTTGAACAGGATGGTCTCGATCTCTTGACCTCGTGATCCATCTGCCTTGGCCTCCCAAAGTGCTGGGATTACAGGCGTGAGCCACTGTGCCCGGCCTGTTTAATTTATTCATGCTTCCAATTTCAGATTAAGAGGGACTGGAAAGAACAGCGGATATAAGATAAATACTGTTACTGTCCCTATTTTATAGATGGGCACACTGAGACTTGGAGATATCAAGTATCTTGCCTAAAGTCCCACAACTAGTACACGGCGGTGCTGGAACTGCAATGCAGGAGACTGGCTGTATCACATTACGCGGCCAACACTACGCACCTGGCGAATTACCCCTCACCCTGAGAAGCACTCGCTGCTCCTCCTAGAGGTTAGGCTGGAGCGAGGAACGCTCAGTCTGTCTCCTACCTGAGGTTGGGTAACATAAGCAGTGCCTAGAGTTTAGTAGGACGTAGTCAAAGAGAAATCCCCAAGGAGGCAGAGAGACTCCAAGATTTGAGCAGCTCGCCATAGGGATCCAGCCACTTTCTCTAGATGGTCACAGATGAGGATTCTAGCAGCAATTGTAAGGGACAGGAACTTTCCTTCTCCTGGTGCCACTGTTCTCTGAGCCTCAGTTCTATTTACTTTTTAACCAATAAAACTGGGAAGTCAGATTAGCTGTCCAAGATGCCTTCCTCATCAATAGCCAACAAGTACTGAGCACGGCGCTGAGTCTTTATGTAGCAGCGTCAGCACCCACCATCCCTCTGCTGGAGAGGAATGGGCAACAAGGTCCTTGCTTTAAGGTCTTAGATTAGTTGAGAAAATACATTTTGAGAGTACATAAACTGGCCCTTGATTGCGGGTTCAAGTGGCCCTTCTACCCATGAGGGTCCATAAGGGGAACAAGAGTTAGGGGAATGGCTTCCTCCCATTCCGGGCCCGTTTCACCTCCCTGATTTCTCAGCCCTCAAAGACTTCGAGAGTTTACTCGAGCCTTCACACACTTCACATCTTTCTGCAGCATGACTCTATGGGGTGCAGAGAAGCCTGGGGAGAGGTGGCCCCACATGCTTCACCCAGAACAGCGTTCCCTCAGGATGAGTCACTGGACTGACAGCACAGTGGGCATCCACTCCTCACTTCCATTCTCAGAAAAACGCCCACTTCAACCGTTATCCCAGGCACACAGTCCCCCGACCAGGATGGGAGAGAGCTGGGGAGGAGAAGGAACTACACTCTATACACTTGCTTCATTCTTCCTCTTACTACTCACAATGGCATCACCAGTTTATAGAAAAGGAAAGCAGGTCTGAACTGACTCACCCAAGGTCCTGTGACATATAGGTGGCAAAACCAGGACACAAAGGCAAATCTGACTCCAAACCTGCCCCCTAACCACTCAGATATCAGATCTAGCATTCACCCATTTATAGCCAGCAAGTTAGCCTTTTATCCACCTCCAAATGGCGGTTTCAGCCCAGACTAAGGAGAGCCTCAAGCTCCTTTAGTGAAGTCTAGGCTTTCTCTGAAGCAAACCACCCCATCCATCCACCATGGCAGGCCTGGCCTCCCATGGATCCTCTCTAACACATAGACATGGCTGTCTCTGCTACCTGAAACACTTTGCTGGGAAGAGATCCCTCCAGCCTTCTCTCTGAGCCATTGCATGCTATCAGTCAGCCTCATCCCTCCTTCCTGCCCCATGCAGGAGGGAGCGACTTTGCCAGTCCGGAGGTCTGAGGTCTCAGATAGTCTTGCCAGGTGACATCTGGGGCCTCATAGCCCTTGCTGGAGAGGCTGAACATGCCCACACCCCTCAGAATGTTTGCAGCTTGGCAGGACTGAGTGACCCAGTTTCCCTAGCGGGGAAGCTCAGTTGGCTAGCAGGCTGAGCAGGGTTTGGCATCTGCACGGCTCTCCTGCCCTCTGCTGGCTACCAGACTGGAGCCTCGCCGGGGCAGGCAATCCCACGCTGAGTTCACTGCGGGAATTGACTCTCAGGCTGTCAATGTTTGCTGAATTCACTGAATGAATGAGTGTATTGTGTACAGCTCTAGGCTCTAGGGCCTAAAGTGACCGAAGAGGCAGGGACTGCTCTGGGAAAAACAGTGAATTCTGCTGAGCTGGGCCTGGGTTCCCATCAAGCCTCCCCCTTTGCTTTCTTCCTGCCTCTCTGAATGACCCGCCCTCTCCTCCCTCACAGGCCTTCTCCTCCCTCACAGCACGCTGCCGTTTTAGGATGAATTAGATCATCCTAGGCCCAGGTCAACTAGTTTCATCACCACCTGCCTCATTATGTTTCTTCTACTGCATTCCCATGGAGTGGTCTCAAATCTCTTTGAATGCCTCCAATGGCAGGCACTCGCTGCCAAGCAGCCCTTTCCACTTTCTGAGGGCTATAATCAAAAGAATGCTTTTCCTTCTTCACTAAATCAGCCCCGACACTTCCACTTGGAGACCCAGTTCTTACCTGTTGATCACTCAGAAGTTCGACCAGACCACCCTGTGACAGCCTTTCAACTCCTTGAAGAGGCAGTGATATTCCTGAGACTTCTCTTCTCTCTGCGCATACACACTGAGTTCTCTACTTCCTGCGACCTTAAAAGTCTGGAAGCCTCTGACAGTGGCTCTCAGTGGTGGAATTCTAAAAGATGAAGGTATTTTCAGTCTGAAGACCTTCTGAAAGGCAACTTTCTACCTACCCTAGGAGAAGGCCTAAATCACAAAATGGAATAATTCTTTGGTCACGGTTTGCACAGTGTTTTAGATTTAGAATTTACAAAGCTCTTTCATAGGCTACCATTTCAGTGAGTAAAAATATTTTCTTCTGAATTTTAGGGATGAAAACAGCAAGGCCTCACCAAGAAAAAATGCTTTACTGGTGATCATACAGGAAGCAAAAGCATAATGGTACTCAGACCCAATCTTCTGATTCCAAGTCTACCATTGTTTCTACAAAAGCCTTGCTGCTTCTGCCTTTTGAGAACGTAGAAATGAAAGGAAAGAAAGGGGCAGATAACAAGTATTGAGCACTTACTGTATGCCAGACATTGTTCTAAGGACTTAATATTAACTTCATGTTCAAAATGACCTTGTAAGGTATGTACACTTACTATTATTCTAATTTTATTTTCCAGGGTTAGTAAATTCAAAATCCAGCACACTAACCAGTGCAATTCAGCCCGGAACTGACACTTAGCCACGCCGCCATGGCTCTCTATGCTTGCCTAAGTTTATACATCCATCCATCTTTGTTTCTCTTCTTGTCCCTCATTTCTCTGACCAATGTTACTGTGGAGAAAGGTAAAGAAGAGTTTCCCCAGGGGTGGGAGAGGGGAGACTTTCCTTTCTTCCAAGGCAGTAAACCAGAGGCTGATTCAAATCCTGACTCTGTCACTTTGCAGCAAGTGACGTTGGGCCAAGTTATTCAACGTCCCTCCTCTCCTCGGGTTCACCATCTGTAACATGGAGGTGCCACCAACACTGATTTCACTGGGTTTCTGTAAGTTATGAGTTAATGTTTTTGTAAAGTGCTTAGAGAAGTGCATTTCTATTATTAAATTTGGACCTTCAGTTGTTGGAGGTGACTGGGGCAAAGTCTAGAGGGTGGGTAAAAGCAGGCACTGTCCTGTGGGAACACAGAAGGAAAGGGCCCTGGAGCCCAGGTGGAGGATGGGCTGAGGGAGGAGGAGTGGAGAGAGAAACTGATGGAGAACTGGAATGACTTTTGGTGGAGTCACAGTTTCTCTGAGTTAAAAGTATCTTTCTAGGGCATCTAATCCAGCCAAGCAGTGGAGCAGACACAAGTCTCCAGTCTCAGCCAGAGCCTTGGAAGATGAAGAATTCTGTTTCCTAAGATCCTGGGCACACTGCATTAAAATAAATGACACTTGGCAGGTTGGAGTTGAGGGAGGTTCTCATTGGCCTCTTGAAGAAACTAGACAGCAGGGATATAGGGGGTCCAGATGCCTTTACACCTGGCCTCAATTTGGTCTCATATTCTGTTCTCAGGAATAATACAAATCTGTAGAACCGTATGAGTTCCAAGCTGATGGCACACTGATAATAACAGTTAACACTTATGAGGAATTTCCATGCACTAGATGCAATTCTGAATGCTCACTTGTGTTACCTCATTTAATTTTTACATCTTTGCTTTAATGGTATTAGCCCCACCTTACCCAGAAGGAAAAGGATGCACTGGGACATTAAAACATTTGATCATCATCTTGCAGGAAGCTGTGATCCAAATCAGAGGATGAGAACCAGATCCTCTGACTCCAGGACCAGTAAGAGCTTTGTAAATTCTAAAAACTATTATAGGCAAATCACTTGAGTTCAGGAGTTCAAGACCAGCCTGGCCAACATGGTGAAACCCTGTCTCTACTAAAAATACAAAAATTAGCTGAGCATGGTGGTGGGCACCTGTAATCCCAGTTACTCGGGAGGCTGAAGCATAAGAATCACTTGAACCAGGGAGGCGGAGGTTGCAGTCAGCTGAGATCGTGCCGCGGCACTCCAAAAAACGAACAAACAAACAAGCAAACAAAAGTCAGCCATTACTCTCATTTCAGAAATAATTGAAGTTGTGTATTAAAGAATATTCATTTTGAAAATGTAACTGAGTCTTTAAAGGCTTCAGAGAGGCAGATTTCTCTTGTAGCTTGCGGCAGCATTTTCTCAGAACCAGATGGGGCGGGCCACCAGTAGTATCCTTCATTCTCTAGTGCATATCTGGGTGCTTGTTCCATTCAGGCATGGCATTAGGTTCTGGGAATGTTGCACAGAGTGACACACACTCAGTCACTGCCCTGATGAGGTTTTACAACCTGGTGAGGCAGAGAGATACTGGTCAAACAGTCATATCAACATACAATCCATAACCACAATAAACGCTATGAAGGAAAAGTTCAGAATGCTCTAAGAGAGCATTATAGGTAGCAGGAAATGCCCTAAACTGGGGTGCAGGGTTGGGGAGGGATGTATCAGGAAAAATTTTGCCTCTACGTTTTTATATAAAAGAATGTCTTTGGGCTGGGTGAAGTGGCTCACGCCTATAATCCCAGCACTTTGAGAGGCTGAGGCGGGAGGATTGCTTGAGTCCAGGAGATTGAGA